TTTTTTCTTAAAGCATTTATTTATTTTATGTATATGAGTACATTGTAGCTGTCTTCAGACACACCAGAAGAGGGTATCCAATCCCATTACAAATGGTTGTGAACCACCATGTGGTTGTTGGGAATTGAACTCAGCAGTCAGTGCTCTTAACCACTGAGCCATCTCTCTAGCCTGCCTGCCAGCTATTTCATATTGTTGCTGTAATATGCTTGCCAGTCATTGACACAGAAAATAACTTGACTCAGAGCAGGGTCATGCTCACCACCACCATATCCTGTTATGTTTTGTTATGCTATGAGGTTTGTTAATCTTTAGAAATTCCACAACTATAAGCTTCATGTAGGACCCACCAAATTAAAGGCTAATATTGAACTGTTCTGTCTAAAATGGCTTGATTTGGGGCTAACCACTTCCTACATTTGCATACGAACGTAGACAAATGTTCAGGATTGTAGCCTCAATCCTTAAATTCTGAGCTACAGCCCTGACCAATCAGTCTTAGGGTGTGGGCTTAATAAACCATCCCTGTCCAACTGAGATGGGTGTTCATGTGGTTTATGGGGTGACTCCTGGACCCAACATAAGGAAATAACATGATTTAGATAAAAGAAACTAAAATGATCAATCTATACTTAAAAGTCAGAAGCCATTCATATTTAAACAAAGTGAAAAATATAGTTATTTTATGTAACATTAAGAGGGTGTATTAGTCAAACCTTTTGTTTCTTTGATAAGTACCTGGGAAAACAAAAGACAGAAAAGAGTTATTTGTGTTCATGATTTCGGAGGTTTCAGTGCATGGCCAGATAGCTCCATTATTCCAAGGTTCATTATAAGGCAGAACACTGCTGTAGAGGACTGGTAAACAAAACGGTATCCTCTGTGAGAAACAGGAAACAGAGAAAGACAGAGGAAGGAGCTGGTGACAGGATTTATCTTTTCAGGGCATGCTCTCAATGACCTACTTCCTCCAACTTGGTCCTACATCCTAAAATTTCTGCCACCTCCCAAAATAGTATCAGCAGCTGGGGATCAAGACTTCAATACGTAAAACTATGAAGGAGATTTTATTTCCAAGCCAGAATAGAAGGCTAGAAATATGGAAGATAATTTTCCTTGAAAATGATTATCTGAGAAGTCTGGCCTAGAACTTCTGACCCCCCTGTTGCCCAACTGTGAAGTGTCAGGATCATAGGTGTGTATGTGCCAGTGTCCTGGGCTAAGCAATCACTGTATCAAAGGAGTTACATCCTCAACCAAGAGCAAGTTAAGCAATATCAGATTGTCTTATATGGCTGGAGAGACCACTCAGCTGTCAAAAGTAGTTTTGAACTTGGTTCAAAATCATCCCTAACTCCAACTCTAGGGGTCTGACAACCTCTTCTGATGACCTTAGGCACCAGGCACACAGATAGTGCATATAACGTACACGTAGGCTATGGTAATTTGAATGAAATAGCCCTTATAAGTTCTTATATTGAATATTTGGTTTCCCAGTTGGTAGACTGTTTCAGAGGATTAGAAGGTATATCACTGGGGATGGATGGACTTTGAGGTTTCAAAACTCACAATGGACCCAGTCTCTCTCTGTATCTAATGTTTGTAGATTAAGTTATAAGTTTATTTCAAAAGCACAGCAGGCAAGGTGCTGGAAGAGTATAGATACTACATAGTTGTCATGCTATATTGTTGTGGAATGTTAGTAAAGGAACTTTATTTATTTTTTTGGCTTATACATTTCTTTTTTTTAAATCATGTATGTATATATGTGCATGTGTGCATGCATGAAATGAGCATGTGGCTATATGTGGTTGTGGGGGCTGGAAGAGGGAGTTGGATTCCTTAGCTCTGGAGCTATAGGCAGCTATGAGCCTTTATATGTGTGCTAGAGACTGAACTTGGGCTCTCTGAACGAGCTGCAAGCACTTTTAACTGTTGAACCATCTTTCCAACCCCATGATGCCTCCGTGTATATGTGTGTGTGTGTGTGTGTAGTAATGTTGGTCCAAGATTGAATCCTCAAAATCACAAAACACGTTACAAAGGCCAGTGTAGTAAGAACTCTGAAATTTTGGTTTCTTAAAAAAACAGAGATTTATAAGAATGTGCTTTTGTTTGGATCCCCGCTGTAGGGATGTGGTGCTGCTTCAACAGCTGACCATGATTTGGTTTTGGCAGCTGCAGATAATTTCTGCCATTCTGTGATGTTTGGAATTCTGGGAACTCTTCAGAGGAGATAAACTTGAGGGGCCCCCATGAGGCGGAGTTGATGGTTGTTAGTCATTTAGTGAAGTTGGCTGCTGTTTGTTAATAGTCGTGTCCAAAGGAAAAACAAAAGGAAAGAAATTAGGTTCAGGGATTTTCCTAATTCCGATCTCTCTCCCCTCGATCCTTGTTTCTCTCCTATCTAGTGTTAGGGAGTGAAACTGGGGAATGAGGGGAAGGTTGGGAGAAAGAAGAACCCACAAAGTAGCAAAGACTAGCTACAGGCTAGGAGAGTGGTCTATACAAAATTAACAGCCGTCGAAGATCATTACGTAGCAGAACCTGATATTGGAAACCTATTAACCTTGACTTTGTTTCATAAAGTTGTTATGAATACCTTGTTAAATTCTGCTCCTGTAAACCCCCCCACACCACCACTTACTTTCCCCCATTTGGAAACCACCTGCTCCCGAGCTATGAAAACCTTGTCTTCCTCAGGTTTAAGGCTGATCTCTTGAACACTACCTTAGGGGGAGGCAGCCTATGTACGTAAATAAAAAAGCTTTGCTTTAACTGCTTGCTTGCTTGCTTGCTTGCTTGCTTGCTTGCTTGCTTGCTTGCTTGCTTTAATAAATTTGGCCATGATGATTTAGGTCCGTGTTCTTTCTCAAGTCTTTGGGAATTACAGCACATGGAATTTAGTCATCTGTGTACACTAGCTCCTCTCCTCTCATGGTACCCTTTAACCTCTATAAAGTTTTACCCAGCTTTTTGTTGGTTTTGGAGACAAGGTTTCTCTGTGTAGCCCTGGCTGTCCTGGCTCTGTAGACCAGGCTGGCCTTGAATTCAGAGATCTGCCTGCCTCTGCCTCTCAAAGGCTGGAATTAAAAGTACGTACCACTGTGCCTGGCTTTTTATACAGCTTTTGGCTGAAAATATAATTTTTGTTATTCTTATTAAAGGTCCATTAAGGGAAATATGTTGCCCACTAACCATAACCCAATGGAGTCTACCTCTGAGGTAGTCATGCCACTGTCTTCTTCATCTTTAAACTTTAATCCAGCAGGTCTTCCAATCACTTGGATAAGGGACCATTCCTTAGAAATGGCAGGTTTAGCATGGCAGGTTCACCTTAAGCCGTGCTAAAGAGACAAAGGAATAATCTACTCTTTAATGAAAAAGTGTACACTTTCTCTTCCTCAAATTCCTGGCCCATAGCAGAGTAGTTCCAGATTACTCATGAGATTCCCCACGATTTCTGTATATTCCTGTCTCAGAAACGCTCAACCCTTTGTCTTCTCTTTTCTTTTGGGTGCTGGACTAATACACATTCTCTGATAGTGTGGGCTTCCTTCCTTTCTCTAAAGCTCCCCTCCACGTGGCTGCGGCTGCTGTAACCATACGGCTGCCCTCTATGTCTGTCTAACACAAATGGCATGGCATCTCTTCCACTTCCCCATCTTGCCCTGGGCAGCTGCCGAGATTTACAGCTTGCCTGCATTGTTTTGTTTTGTTTTTTTAATTTATTTTTTATTTTTTTATTTTTTAACTCTAATAAAATTTCCTCCAGCTTCTTTTGAGACTCTTCTTAAATTCTTTTACTAATGAGACTAAGAATCTCAAGAGGGGACTCTGATTTCCCTAGTAACAGGTGGCAATTCCCATGGGACTCCCCAGAATTTCCGGTAACAAGCACAGGAAAAGGAAGACATGACATATAATACTGAAACTCTAAAATCAAAATTGAGATTTTTTTTCCTCTTCCTCCCCCTTTTGAGACAGGGTTTGACACTGACTAAAACCTAGAATAATCTTGAATTTGTAGTGATTCTCCTTCCTTTGCCTCTGGAGTATTAGGAGTATAGGTGTGTACCACATCTGAGTTTTTAAAAATCGAGTTTAATATTCACGTACTTAAGACACTTGCAGATCGTTTATTTAGTCCTCCAAAAAATGAACTGCTTTTATTCATTTAAGAAGCAAACTTAATTTCACCTTTTTCCATTGAGGTTTTTAAGAGTTCTGACAAATTTGTAATTTTCCCCCTGTACATCACGCTTATTAATTCATCACAGAGATAAATTCAAGCCACAAAAACATTCAAGCTGCCTGTACACTCCCCCTTTCACACAATGTGGGCTCATACAACGCCGTTTTGGTTCTTTTCTCATTTTCGTGTAATTTACTTCATCCTCCCTTGGCCCTCCCACGATCTTACTCCTTTCCCCATTCAAGCAAGTCTCCAGTAGTAAAAGCAGTTTTCCAAGCAGTTTTCTTAATTAATCAGGTTGGGTAGATGAGTTATATCCCCGCCCCTCGGGCGGGGCCATAGCGGCGGGCGGAACCCGATGCCTGCTCTGGCTCCTTAACAAACGATTCCTTTACGATCTTCAGAAGAGAGACACACACAGCGAGCCAATCAGCGGCCGCGGTCCTCGCGTCCGGAGCGGGGCTAGCCCCGCCCACTCCCAGCCTCCCGCGGGGGCCGTCCGAGCCTCGCGGGCTCCCGCAGGCCCCGCCCCCTGGGCAGGCGCGGCGGTCATTGGATGGCGCTCAGCTTGCAGTCGCCGCGGTTGCTGGGAGAGGGAGGTGGGGGCGGGGCCCTCGGTGGTCCAAGGGGCCCGAGAGAAAGGCTGCTCGGCGCGGGCGGGCGCGCTGGGCGGAATCGAGCGTCTCGGTGGCGGTTTGCCTGGCGGCCCGCGCGGCGGCGTCGCGGTGCAGGAACCGGTCCCCGTTGACAGCTCCGCGTCTTCCGGCCGCGCCACTCGGGAGGTGGCTTCCTCTCTGCGCTCCCTCCGCGAGTCCGCGCGGCCTCGGAGGAGAAGCGGGAGGCGGCGGCTGCGGAGGTCGTCGGGGGCGGCGGGCGGTGAGCGCGCTCCCGCTTCCCCGGCGGCGGCCGCAGGACAATGGAGGTGGCTATGGAGAAGGCGGCGGCTCCGGCCGGGGCCCCCGCAGCGGCGCCGCCGAGCGGAGAGAATGAGGCCGAGAGCCGGCAGGGCCCGGACTCGGAGAGCGGCGGCGAGGCGTCCCGGCTCAACCTGTTGGACACTTGCGCCGTGTGCCACCAGAACATCCAGAGCCGGGTGCCCAAGCTGCTGCCCTGCCTGCACTCGTTCTGCCAACGCTGCTTGCCCGCGCCCCAGCGCTATCTCATGCTGACGGCGCCGGCGCTGGGCTCAGCAGAGACCCCTCCACCCGCGCCCGTCCCCGCCCCCGCCCCGGGCTCTCCGGCCGGTGGTCCTTCGCCATTCGCCACCCAAGGTAAGAGGGGTCCGCGAGGTGGCGGGCGCGACCCGCTGTCACGCGGCTGGGGAGGGGGTGAAATGGGCCCGTGCTGGCTGAGCGACTCGGCAGTCCCTCACTTTTGCGGAGCTCTGACTGTTGTGGCGAGTTAGCAGCTCCCCGCTGTCTCCGCGAAGCTTTGTCCGGGTGCATACGATCCGGATCAGCTCGTGTACACCCGGGTTATGCGAGCCGGAGAGGGGAAGGGAGGGATGGAGATGAAGTGATGGGGATTTTCTTTGATGATTAATTGCAGATTGGCTGCCGTCTGTTTCGAATTTCGTGCGTTCCGGGCTTTTTACCTTAATGAGTTTCCTTTCTATCCCCTCCGTTGGGGACAAAGGAACCGGGAGACGGAGTTTTGTTGTCTGCTGCTTTCGGAGATTTTATTTTGAACGATTCGATAAAGGATAGAAAGTAAATAGACTTCCAAAGTGTTTTGTACACAGTAGTTGGAAGTTACTTTCTCTTTTGTGGTGTTATTGGATAATTAGTTTTTGACAGGTAGTTTCCATTGCTTATGTTAACAGGTTTAAAGCATTTAAAGTGATTTGAAGTGCAGTAATTATTTCTGGGAGAACGCTTGAATTTTAACTTTTAATACTGCAAATATTTGGGCAAATTGACGTCTTTAAAGTACGAAGTAACTGAGGAAGGGAAATCTTTTTTCTATTGCTTCGTGGTTTTTTGTTTGTTTATATGTTTTGTTTGGCTTATGTAGCAGCCCAGACTTGTCCACAACTGGCAATCTTCCCGCCTCGGCCTCTTCAGAGTAAAGATAACGGGCATGAGCTGCTGACCAGTCACTTTTAACATCTCTTTTAAAGGGAATAACTGTTTTGAGTTGATTTGTTAAATAATTACATTAGGTCAGGATGCGATTGCTGGCTTGGATTGTTGGCTTAGATGCACTTACCTCTATCTTACAGCAGTCTTTAGACATAGGAAACTATTTTCCGTGGGTCTCTATTGTTATGGGAAGCCCACCAAAGAGAGACCATTCAGTCTATAGCCAAATGAAAGTATTCCAGCCAGCTGGTTTACACTCAAATATCCAGTATGCAAATATAATCCAGTGGTTTTCAACCTGTATCCAGATCCCTTGAGAGGGTGGAATGAACCTTTCACAGGGGTCACGTATCAGATATCTTGCATACTAGATATTTACATTATGATTCATAACAGTAGCAAAATTGCCATTATGATGTACCAAAGAAAATAATTTTATGGTTGGCGGGTCACCACAACACAAGGAAGTGTGTATTAAAGGGTGGCAGCACTAAGATTTAAGAACCTTAGATCTTGCCTTTAATCCCAGCACTTGGGAGGCAGAGGCAGGCGGATTTCTGAGTTCGAGAGGTCGAGGCTAGCCTGGTCTACAGAGTGAGTTCCAGGACAGCCAGGGCTACACAGAGAAACCCTGTCTCGAGAAACCAAACCAAAAAAACCCCACCAGATCTTTAGAGCAAGGGGCTTTTTTTGTCTTGTTTTGTTTTTTGTTGTTTGTTGTTTTTGTTTTGTTTGAAATAAGTGTTTCTCTGTATAACAGTTCTGGCTGTACTGAAGTTTGCTCTGTAGATCAGGCTCACCTAGAAGTCAGAGATCCACCTGCCTCTGCCTCCCTAGTGCTGGGATTAAAGTTGCGCACCACCACTGCCTTGCAAGGGGCTTTCAGGCAAAAGCCACATCCTGTTATCTTGCTATGAAATTGCAAGCTGGAGGTTTTGTGCAAGCAAGCAGTTTAACAGAAGCTAAGATAAGCAGTTAACTGAAGGGGAAGGTTTGCACAAGTAGCCAATTTAAGAGAAGCCAAGATAAATTAGCTAGAGCATCTTGACTTTGGGTTCTTAGATTTTGCTAATTTTCCACAAGATTCTCCATCAGGGAAGCCAAACTTTAGTCAAACCTAAAGTGGTCTCACCAAAAATATAAGATAGAGGAACCTTTGCACTGTCTTGCCCTGTCATATAATCTAATTGGTTCTATGGGCAAGAGTCAAATAGTTGACTTGTGCTGTTCTGAGGGCATGGTTGGTTCTAAGGATTAGAAGCTTAACTAAGTTTATTCTCTGTTTGATATGTTGCGCATCCAGTTGAGAATGCAGGGTTCAACCATTAGCTGGATCAGAGGTGGGAGTGGGCAGGATTCCTTTCACAGTCTAGTCAATGCTGTGGCAAGTTTCTGCTAAGCCTGTGAGGACTTGAGAAGGGAATGAGTAGACATTTTTTCTTGGTGAATAGCTTGTAGTTTGGGGAGGATGGGAAATGGTCTCCCAAACATAATTTCAAAAAGGAGTAATCCCCTCCTGGTAAGGAGTACATTGGGTACTGAGCAGGAGAGGAAGTTGGCATAACTCTTGCCAGTTTCCAGTACTAATTTAATCAAAGTCTCCTAAAGAGTTTTATTCATCCTTTTTGCCTGACCTGGGCTCTGTTCTATACGTTCAATGCAATTTCCAATTAATACCTTTGTCAGAATTTGAGACACTTTAACTGTTGTAGAGGAATTTTAATCCAGCAACATGGGTGCTCTGGCAAGGAATCAATCACATCCAAGGATAAGATCCAGCTGGAATGTAGACACATCAAACACCTTTATTTAATTCCTCTGGCTGGAATATAGACAGGCCGTAAGTACATACTTATGATCCTTCTGGCTGAAATACAGACACATCTTTAGTACACCACTTTTAATCCCAAACAATGATCTCTAATTGAGAGGCAGACAAAGTGATAAGTCAGAGATAGGATACAACCCAACTCTCACAAGAAGAGACAGTAAAGAAAGGTTACTTAAAGAAGAGTGAGGAAGAGAGGGGATTGAATTCAGTTCAGTTCAATGCACTTCAGTTTATGAAGTTTAGAGGTAGTCTTTCTAAACAGAGAAATTCAGTCAGAAGCCAAGAGAAGCCAATTTGAATCAGTTAGCTTGGAAATGAATTTAAGCTAGAACAGCTGAATTGAACTAGCAGTCATCCAGAAAAAGCTTCAGAAAAAAGCTAGAAAGGATGAATTTATTCATCAGCAAGTTTCAGCAGCTGAAACATTATAGGCCTAGGATAGCAGACAGAGGCCAGAAGCCTAAGGCTTCAAGGTCCAGACTTGAAGAAATTTAGGTTGAACGGAGGCTAGAAGCTTCCAGGCTTAGGCCTAGGGAGTTAGAAATGCTCTGGGCTCAGTTCAGGCCATGTATTCCTAAAGCTTGGGTATGGCTTTCCTCCCATCCCTTTGTCTGAGGAAATAAAAATGGCTTTTAAATTTTTATGGTGTGAAGGCAGCCAGACCGCAAAGCTAGAAACAGTCTAAACCTAAGATTTCCAGAAGAAATTTCTTTTTTTTTTTTTTTTTTTTTTTTTAATTTTTTTTTTTTTT